AGGAAAATCTTTTCTATTCACCTCTATCATCGAAAATCGTTAAGGATTATGTACTTGGAATGGGGGTAAAAATGAAGATAATGGATGGTCAAGTTGTATGAAGATGATAAAAATAAAATTGGTAAAGAGTGAGGAAGATGAGATGGAAATGGTAGAAAAGTGAAAGCTAGGAAGGAAGAGAAGGAAAAAAGAAATTTAAAGGTTTTTAATATGTTTTAATTAGGGATGAAATGGAAATAATATATTTTATAAGGTGAAAAAGGAAAAGAAGTGAAGTGAAAGAAGAAATGGTGAAACATAATTTATTAATAGTGAATATATATATTGTTTTCACTTTTTATTTATGATAATAAAAAAATAGTTAAACTGAAAATAAATATAAATAATTTTTATAATATAATTATTTATTTATTTTATAGATGTTTTTTTTATTATAAATAGTTATTTTAGTATTAAGAAAATGGTTTAAAAAATATCAACTTGAAAAAAATACTAAATTTTAAAAAACGTTCAGTTAAAATATAAAATTGATGAAATAATTATTTTAATTTAAAAAAATTGTAATAGTATAGATAAATTTGAAATGAACAACGTTAAATTAACAGGAAAAAAAACTAAAGCAATTGTTTTGTAGAAAATCTCCACCATTTAAGTTTCGAAAATTCAAAATTTCAATTTAAAGTTTTAGCCAACCTTTCAAGAAGGGCTTAAATTTTGCTTTTTTAGAATACAAAATTTCAGCTTTTACATAAAACTTGACTGTATATTTAGTTATTTATTTGTTTAAATAAAAAATATTCAATATTAGTGCCTCGTCCAACTATTAATGCTGATGGGCTTTCAACAATAACTCGCCAATTACAAGGTTTATTATTAATTAAAATGAAGGATATATAATTTTTATTGGTAATTGGATTACATCTTACGAGGAAAAATTAATTATTTTTTTAAATTAAAGAAGAAATATACAATTAAATTAAAAATTTACATATATAATTATATTTAAGCCATTAAATTATAAATCTAAGATAAGCCATTACGTAAGCTCACCCAACCCTTTTATGTATGATTAACTGTAATGGACCGGGCCACATAGTTCGGCAACTCTATGAGAATATCTCCCAGTTTGGGCCATTTTGTGACTATTGCGTGATGATAGCTGCTTCTTTCTGCACTTCCTGTTTTTTTCATGCACTCCCTAAAATATATAAATTCCAAATTATCTCTTCATTTAAATTATAGTAAAAGAGTGAAAATTATCTTTACACTTTTTTTTAATGTATTAGAAATTGAAAAATTCAAAAGATATTTCAGAATTCGAAAATAACACTAATAATAACGAGTGTTTTTTCAACAAACTATTTTGATAAATTGAAAAATTCATACCCAATGAAAATCATTTCTTTAAGAAAACTTCGTTTGTTCTACTAATTATCAAGCCTTGAAGTCTACGATAATACAAATTTTTATCCATGAGGATAAAAGTTTTATGTTAATTATAGTGATAGGATCATATTAATTGCCACCTCTAACATGCTTACGTTTGTGTAATCTTTTGTAGCTATGTATTGTAAGACTCTAGAACTTCAATAATTTATCGAGTTGTAAAAAGTTCAAGTTATAATGTAAAATAGAATGTTGTCAAAGTTTGACATGGTTTACTATTTTAATTATAACTTTTTGTAGAAAGTATCAATTGAGTTAATTCTTCTTTTATTGGATAGTAGACTCAAAGAGCTTCGATTTGAGTACTCATACACGTATTTTAGACTTAAGAAAGGGGGTCAACCGGACTGTCAAAGTTGAAACAATTGTGATGATGGGAGACTTGCGCCCAACAACCTATACAAAGGGGCGCCAGGCGCGAACGGTATCAGTTTTCAGATCTGAAATAAGTGGGAATTGCGTGGAAAGTTGGGGAATATGCTCCAGACCTATAATGGTTGGTCCCTTGGGCCAGAGAGGAGCGTGGGTAGACCTCCTTTCAAATTAACAAGTGCTTCTTAGTGGATTAAGGGGCCATGGTGTCTCTTGGGACAGATCTACAAGTGCGGGAAAAGGAAGAAATGGGTTCTGCACTTGTGGGAGTGAAGTAGTTGCTGCAAAATCCGTGAGAGAGGTGAAGTTGAGAGCTTATGGAATTGCAAGGAGGCCAAGGTGCTGCAAGTCTGGTGAAGATTGATTCAAGGTCTACAAAGGAAGTCTTCAAGAGGTAAGGGGAGCTAGATCTTTTTCTATGGGTTGTATGAACAATACATGTGTTGATCTCTGTATGAACTGTATGCTGGAAATTTGTGACTGTGGATGTGGTTGGGTTGAGATGATATTGAGATTGGTATGTTGATGTATGTATTCTGTTGGAGGGTGATCAAGTGGAAGGAAAGAAAAGTATACACTGTTTTGAACAAGCTGATAGAGTCTTGGGTCATTTTGAGAGGAAGTGAGGTAGGGATTTTGGGAAGTAGGGTAGGGATTTTGGGAAGTAGGGATTTTAAGCACATTTGGGTTGTTGGGATATCTTAGGTAAGTCATTTGTGACTTGTTAGAGTCATCAAACTGATCAAAACAGGTGTAAAATGGTTGTTGTCAACTGGTATGGGGCTGGACGACTTCTGGTTCGCGCCCGGTGCCTCCGGGGGCGCCCAGGCGCGAGAGTCTCGCAAAAAGTCGCGCCCAGCGCCCTACTGTGGCACCCAGGCGCGAGGTGTTCGCAGAAAGTGGCTTTGTCTTTGTTTTTGATAGTTTTTGGGGTTCCGGATGTCCGTTTTGGACGTTCCTTATGTCGTTTTGGAGGTTTTGAACCTTCCCGAAACTGTTGGTGATGGTTTCAAAGCCATTTTCTTTGTCTAAGTATGAGTTACGGGGTTTTGTGTTGTTTAGTGGTTCTCTTGGGACTGTTATTGTCTAGTGATGTGTATTGGATTGATTAATGTTGTTTGCTTAACAGATTGTCATGCATGTGGAATGTTTGGAATGCATAGTATGATGTGATTTATGTGGGAAGTATGTGAATGTACGAGATATGTTGGATTTACTGTGATAATATGGTGGTATCTGGTTATTCATGTCTTGGGTTAAGTTTCAAAGTAATATGGTTCATGGACGTAATTCCATGATCCTCAAGGAGAGGATACATGGTGGTGCCCTAGTGATGTGTAGAATGATTGCATGGTAGCTCAGTCTTAGGGATTTTCCTGACGCTCCAATGGTCTTTTATTCTCAAGTAGAGAGGATTATTCTCAAGTAGAGAGGATTGATCTATGTGGTGAGGAGTAGCAGAAGGTCCTAGTCTTGGAGGCTTCCAGTATGCTCCAGGGCGCGGAACGGAATAACATCGTGAGTGTGGTAGGGTGGAACCCATTGGCAACGGCTTTGCAAAGCAGTAGAGGCCACCACGAGTGCATAACCCGCCATAGCTCGGTAATCATTCTGGTCCGGACGAGTCGGTCTATAAAGCAACGAGTCGATTTATAAAGTAACAAGTCTTGTGAGGTCAGTTTACCATGTTTGGATGACTTTTGCATGTCGTGTGAGGTTGTATAACATGCTTTTTATATCTAGCTTACCCTTGCTTGTTTGTAATTGCTTGTATATGTTTCTTTGGCGATGATCATCCACTTGGATGGGAGCAGATGGCGGGGAGGATACTTTAGGAACAGCTCTTGATGGAGACGGCAATGCTGCAGCTTAGATTTGCTAGTTTTTATTCCATGAATTCATATTATTTGGAAGAACTTTTGAGTATTTAAAGTTTTAAATTCTCTGAAATTTTCAGGGAGAAATTCTAATACTTTAGTTGTCAATTTCGCACTACTCTAAGATGACTGTAATCCTTAATTAGTCTTGACTGTTTTTCTATATTATATATGCATAAAGTATATAATTGGGATGTCACATGTACATTATGAATAAATATTATCATATATTATGAATAAATATTAACATATATTTAGAAGTACAACTTATTTCTTATTGTACCTTTTTATAGCATTAAATATATTTTTATTTTTGTAAAATTAAAACTCATCATTTGACACGTTTTAAATTAAGGTTTAAACAAATTATATTATTTGACACGTTTAGGCGTCAAATTAGAATATTTTAAAAAAATTTAACGTAGTTAAATTAAAATAATTTTATTTATTTATTTTTAAAATTTAAAATTAAAATTTACTAAAAGTTTGAGATAACAACAAATTTTTATTTTAGGTTTAAGTTTAGTGATTAAAAAACATTTAACTTTTTTATATTATGTTTCCGTTTTTTTTTTCAAAACAATGAATAATTAATCTTTAACTCTTTCTTTTATTAAGCCTTCTTTCAAAATTACACCTGTACTTGTACTTATTTTAAAACCAAATTTTAATTCTTATACCTGTACTGACAATTTTGGAATACTAAATATATCAAATACATTAAAATCAGATAATATGTTTCTCCATTTATATATGTTAGGAAAAAATAGGAGCAAGCTCCCTCAAACAGACATAACGTCTGCCACTGTATTATTTAAATATGTATAAAACTTATAAAGAATAATAACTTACGTGTAAAAACACAAAATACATTATTATCTAAACAAGTTGCTCATCTTAAATTTGAATCTTACAGCTTAAACACATGATACAAAATTTCATTCCAACCATATATTATTGATGTGACTGACAAACTTGCCCTAATATTTTAAGTTTACCTAACCTCCATTACTATAACACTTAAAAATATTTTTTTATTAATTGACCTGAGCATCAATAAGATGAAAGGTTAAGTTTACAAGAGCATAATCAATAAAAGAATTAAAGAAACCTCTAGAAGAAGAATAACATAATTAAGACTAAAAAATTAAAGAACATGTTTAAAGGACATAAAATATAAATCAAACTATCCTTTTTCATAAATAATAAACCCATTTTCAATTCTACTTGGTTTTCTTTCATTTATCTCACAATATAACAAAAACGATAAAGCAATGATACTTAAAAAAAAAACTTTATAAACAATGAGTCATTGTATATAAATTTAAAATCGAATGAAATTGAACCTTCATTATAATTTATACACCCCAATAATCGAATCACGTATATTTAATCCAAATAGCAAACTTTAAACATTAGGAAGAATAAATCACCCAATGTTGACCATCAATATTTACCTTCAGATTGTGAACTTTAGCAAATAGATCAACGGCTCTTCGAACCCCTCTATTATCTGCTGCAGTGAAATAATCGTGCCCGAACATAACCCCACCGGGTCGGAGGATCCGGAAGCCCCGGTTAATATCAGCCCAAGCAGACAAAAAATCGTGACCCGCATCGATCTCAACCAAATCCGCGTACACGCCCCACTCGCACAACAACATCAGGGTCGACCCGCTTGAAAACGGAACAGGTAAAATTGACCCGGTTTGGTTAAAAGTAACCACGTTCTGAAGGAACTGGTAAAAGAGCCAAACGTCGCCGTTTAGGATCGGTATGTGCATGAACCGCTCTCTGAACCCTGCCCAGCCGCGAAAGTCGTCAACGCAGAGAATCTGAGTTTGGAGGCCGAGTTGGCGAGTCAACTCGGCCATATGAATCGCGGACGCGCCGAGGAACGTGCCAACTTCAACGACGGTCCGCGGCTGCACGCGGCGGATGAGGTTCTCGAATACAGCACCGGTGGAGCCCCAACCCTTCACCCTCTTCGTCCGCCGTAGCTTCTCCGCTGCGTGCGGCGGCGGGAAGTTTTCGAACGGCGAGGTGCCGTTGAAGAGGCGGTCCACGAGAGTCCGGCGGATTGTCTCCGGCGGAATTGGATCGGCGCAGCGTGTCGTGATTCGGAACGGGTTTAACTCGGTGGTGTTGATTGGGAAACGAATGACAGGTTCTGGAAATTGTGGTGGTGATGATGAGGGTGTGAGTGGTAATGAAGTGGAAGCAGGGTGGTGGGATAAGTAACCGAAGGAGTAGGTTAGCAAAAGAAGGATAAAGTACGCGGCAGGTTTTGCCGTTTTGATGATCTTATGTTGTAACGAAGGTGAAAATCTTCTGTTGGCATGGTGTTGTTCAGTTTTCATGTTTGTGAGGATTTGTTTTCGGAGAATTCTAGGTTTTATGAGAAATCTTTGGATGTTTGGTTTTGGCTATATCATAGGAATTGTTTGTTTTCCGGTTTGGACAACTACTGACCACATAAACAAAGGAGGTGAAGAAGAAGGAGAAAGTTCATAGAATGTTACTTTTGTGGAATTTCATTTTGTTTCCTAATTTTTCTGTTATGTAGATGTTAATATCAGAAATTAATGACTGGGACATTACGTTCTAATTATTATGCATACGCCATGTCTGAATTATCACTTGTTTTTCTTCTTCTGTATTTTGTTGAGTCAAATTTCACAGTATAATATCACTGTCAACGTCATTGTTATCAGTTAATTAATGAATAATCTGTGATTTGATTATGTTTGATAGGAAGTTGAAACCACAGTCTAATTCCTTTTTACGGTACAGTAATAACTAGCATTGGGAATAGCATTTAAGTACTTTTAATGTATATTTTCTGTTAATAAAATTGTTTTTAGTATGTTTTTAAAGCTATTTATTGAAAAAATAATCAATTTGATGCATAACGTTTTTTTTTGTTAAATGATAGTAGAATTTTATTTTAAGAGTATTCTCTTTTAG